ATATTCTCTGCATAACCCAGAATAAGCCCATTTTCCTCTTTTCACAAAAAGTTTCTGGTTGAACGTCCTCAAGGTCACACCAGAGGGACATGTCCATTGGTGCCTCCAGAGCTCGGGTCTTGGCTGCTCCTCCTCATTGGCATTTGTGTGTGTGGGTGTTTAATTTAGTCATTTTTCTGTCTTTGTGGGTTTTCTCTTGTGCTGAAGAGCAGCAAAGCAGCATCCTCACAAGCCAAACATCCTGGTCCAGGCACAGCCCCAGGTGAGGAGATGGAGGACCAGCAGAGGGGCCACAGAGGCTCCAAGGATGGCCGGAAGGGGGGCTACAAGGTGTTGTGGGGGTCTGGGCAGGGAACACCAGACCCCAGAGAGTTTTGGGGCATCTGAGTGCCACCAGTGGGAATATGATAGAGCTGAATTCTTCTTATCCAGGGTAGGTGACATCACAGGGGCAATGGGGGCATGTTTGGGTTTGGGGAGCTGGAGCTGGCCACAAGGGAGGGTACAGCCCTGGGACAGAGCATGGCATGGGGCTTTGAGCGAGGGATGCCCCAAAACCTGGCTGGGCAAAGGCACAGTGGGATGACATTCCCCAGGGCAGCCCGGGCTGGGGACACTGAGAGAGCCCCTCACTTGGGGGGCCTGTGAGCCTTCCCTTGGAGCTCCTGTGTGGAAGCACTGCTGGGAAGGCTCCAACATCTCACCCTGTGGCAGGGCCTGGCCCTGAGCAGGCAGAGGGCCCCTGCCAGGCCCAGCAGGGCCAGGGCCACACAGAGCGGGGCAACCACGGCGGCGCGGTGACACCGCAGCACCGACACCGGCACAGCCACCACCTGCCAGCCCTGGTAGCCCGGCGGGGACTGGCACGTGTAGTCCTGCGGCCAGCCCTGCCCCAGGTGCCCCATAGCTGCCAGTGCCTGCAGCCCCCCAGCCCCAGAGCACGAGCAGCTGAAGGGGTTGTTGGCCGCAGTCACGTCCTGCAGGCGCCCCAGGAGCGTCACCTCATCCCACGGCAGCTCCACGATGGAGTTGTTGTCCAGGTGGAGGGTGTTCAGCACGGGGTAATTCCTGAGGGAGGGGACGGCCTGCAGCAGGTTTTGGCTCAGGAAGAGCTTCTTCAGGGAGTTGAGGGAGATGTCCATGGCACAGAGGTGGTTGTGGCTCATGTCCAGCACCTCTAGGTTGGGAGGCAGAGGTGTCAGCACTACCTCCAAGCCAGTGTGGGACAGGTTAAAGACCCGGAGGGATGCTGGCCACTGGCAGGAGGAGGATGGGTCTACCATGAGCTTGTTCTGGCTGAGATTGAGGTTCTGGAGCCCCTGCAGCAGCTGCACGCCCTCACACACACTGTGGTAGGACGTCAGGTTGTTGTGCTGCAGATTCAGCACCTGGAGCTGAGGAAAAGCTCCCTGGCAGAAGGCAGGTGTCAGGCTCCCATCCCCGAGGCTGTTTTGTGCCAGGTCCAGGGTCTGCAGAGCTCTGAACACCTTTCCAATGGCACAGGGCAGGCTGGTGACACTGGAGCTGGTGACAGCCAGCTCCTGCAGCATCTCCAGCCACGTGCCCAGGCTGGAGAAGGCCTGTTCATTGCCCATCAGCGGGGCAGATGTCACGTTGTTGAAGCTCAGGGACAGTATGGGCAAGCTCTGGCCATCCATTCCATGCCAGTCACCCGTGCCCTGGAAAACACAGCTGTCAAACGCCAGCTCCTGCACGTGGGTGTAGGAGAAGAACCTCAGCACACGGGCCAGGAGGATCTCAGGCACCAGCACATCAGCAATAATTACTTTCTGGATGATGAGGGAGCCCAGAGTCTCAATGGCAGAGTCGTCCAGGTCCCTGATGGGGAAGGCTATGTATTTCTCCAGCTCTCCCCCCCGAAACTCCACCACAGTTGCAGCCAGGCACTGGATGAGGCTGCCCGCGGTCTCCTCGGTCAGGTTGTAGCACACACAGCGCTCCTGGGTGCGGTTGAAGTAACACCTGTTTCTTCTGCCTTCTGCCCCCAACAGCCCCAGCCCCAGAAGGAGCAGAACAGCCACACTCATGGTGAACAACCTGAAAATGAGGGGGAATAGTGAACAGCAGGTAAAGGGACTTGCGGGACTCCCATCCTGGCTTGGGCAGGTTCTGCCATGCAGAGCCACCCCTTGGGGCATGGCACTGCCCTCATTGCTTCTGCACACCCCATGGGCACCCACCTGGCTACTGAGGGCTACCTGGCTGGCTACGTGACTCGGGGCAACACTCAGAGCAGCAGCCAACACCCAGGAGCTACACCTGTGCCACCCTCTCTGTGGCAGGGAGCCAGTGGCACTGGTCCCATCCCACCCCAAAAGCAGGGTGGCTCCTGAGGCTCTGCACTATCCTGCCTGGGCTGCCTTGCTGCAGGCTCCTGCTCCAAAGTGACCAGGGAATGCCATGGAATCAGGAGAAACTAGAAATGCCAAGTTACGGATGGGGAAGCCAGATGTGTCAGTCTGACCATGGGATGGGAGAGCCCCAGTTCTGCTTGTTCCTGTTTAATCTGGGGCAGGAAATTGCAACAGAGGGCTTCATGGTTTCCCTCTTCTCACCCAGTGACTTGATTCATCACCAGCCCCCAAAGAGATACTGGAAAATGACCTCTGAGGGTCCCTACAGGTCCCTGTCAGCACCAGGTACTGCTGAGAGGAGAGTCTGGTCTCCAGATTGCAAAAAAAGCAGCAACCAAAGATTAAAGGCTCCTAAAAAAGTGCTGACTCAGTTGTGTAGTGGTGGGGGGTCTTTGGGGGTCCCCAGTACAGCCTCCTACTTCTAGCAGGTCTGTGCTGGCACCAGCCCCAATCAGCCACAGCTTTTTTTGGCCATATCCCAAAATCCTCCAAGGATGGATCTCTCCCTACCTCTCTGTATCGCGGGGCTGCACCACCCTGCCGGGGAGAAACTCTCCTCCGGCACCTGCACCAAGCCCCCCTCACTTTGGGGGGCAGCGGGATCGAGGGTGAGTTTGTCCAGTGACTCACCAGCCGGCTCAGAAACGTTTCCTTCCCTCACGTCTGCTTCCTCTAACCGCTGCCAAATCCAGGGCTGAGGTGCCAGAGATTCCAAGTTCTCAGCTCTTCCCGGCACCTGATCTCCCCCTGCCTCGGGCTGTAGGAGCCCCCGGTGCCCGCGGGGTTGTTCCAGCCGCCGATGGCGCTCCCGCAGCCCGCGGTTGGACCCACGCGGTCGGGACCGACGGACACCCCGGAGCCGGCTCCCGGGCACTGCCCCTGCGCCCTCGGCGTGACTTCCTGACAGGGCAGCGCCGCCTGAGCCACGGGAAGCAATGCTCCGTGCAGCAGCCGCCCAGATCACCTCTGCTTCGCTGCCCCGCGGCCGCGGGCTGGGCAGGGCTGTGGTCCGAGTGCCAGCGCTTCTCGCTTTCCTGGGAAGGGGCACGGAGCGGAGTGTGGTCAGGATTCCCCAAAGGCAGTCTCAGGATCAGCCCTTTCCTTCCAGATGCTCTGGGATCGATCTGCCTCAGAGCCCACTGGCAGTGGAGAAGGGTACAGGACTGTCATAGCTGGCATCCAGACCATCCCCAGGGTTGTTCCGCGTAGGATGGGGATGGGACCAGCTCCATGCTGTACAGGGCACTTCCTCACCCAAGGCAAGCTGACAGCTTGGCCAAGGAACTCGTATCACTTGCCCTGTGCTCCTCTGGCAGCTGGTGCCTGTGCCTGCTCCGAGGGGTTAAGAGTGGAGACCACCAGGCATTTGGAAAGATCCAGAAGTGTTCAAGACAACTGGATGTGGCACTCAGTGTTCTGGTCTGGTTGACAAGGTGCTGATCAGTCAAAGGTTGGACTTGATGATCTTGGAGGTCTTTTCCCAACTTAGTGATTCTGGGATTCTGTGATCTCTCAGGAATTTTTTTCTTTCCCAGGGATTTCTCTGCCTGTGTTGGATTCAGAAAGGGCTTCAGGAAGGCAACAAAGCTGCATGGTTGGACACTACCATTCCCAGTTTGTTGTTGGTAATGTGGCATAACACATTAGTGCCACAACAGTTGGGGCTGGAGCTGCCTGTCCTGCACTCTCTGGCATTCCTGTGCAGAGGAGTTCTGCAATTCCATGATTCCTCTTCTCTGTCCTTGGGTTACATGAAACTCCTCTGCACGGGAAGGATGTGGAGCTGCTAGAGTGAGTCCAGAGGAGGCCATGGAGATGCTCCAAGGGCTGGAGCCCCTCTGCTCTGGAGCCAGGCTGGGAAAGCTGGGAGGGTTCACCTGGACAAGAGAAAGTTCCAGGGAGACCTCAGAGCCCTTGCAGGGCCTAAAGGGGCTCCAGGAGAGCTGGAGAGGGACTGTGGACAAGGGATGGAGCGACAGGACAAGGGGAAATGGCTTCTTGATGACAGAGGGCAGAGTTAGATGGGATATTGGGAAGGAATTCCTGACTATGATGGTGGTGAGGCCCTGGCACAGGTTGTTCAGAGAAGCTGTGTCTACCTCATCCCTGGAAGTGTCCAAGGCCAGGTTGGACGGGGCTTGGAGCAGCCTGGGATAGTGAAATGTATCCCTGCGCATGGCAGGGGGTGGAATGAGCTGAGCTTTAATGTCCCTTCCATGCCAAACCATTGTGTTATTCCATCAAACTGCTGCTGTGTGCACCGTGGAAAAATCACCGCTGCCCTCTGAGCTCCCGTCACTGCCCCTTTTGGCAGCTCTGTCAGCTTCTGGCCACCAGCCGCAAATTCCCCGAACCCTTTCCTGAGGAAGCACGAGCTCCTCTGCCCCTCGGCCAATACCACGGTGGAAGATTCCGGGGCCCCGAGACTCGTTGGTTCGCATTTCTGGTGAATTTTTGGGCTTTTTTTGGCCTCAGCACAGACATCCCACCCAGCACCGGCAACGCACAGCTCTCCGTGCCCGGGGCGGGCTGGGGGGCCGGGTTCCGCATCTCCCCGCCCCCGGACCGCCCCGGGTCTTTTCCTCCTGCTCCTCCTCCTGCTGCTCCTGCTCCTCCTCCTCCTCCTCCTCCTCCTTCCCGATGTGGGGCAGGCGGCGGGGCCGGCGCGGGGCCGGGCGCGGTGCGGAGGAGCTGCGGGCCCGGCGGCGGGAGCGAGAGGCAGGTCAGGGAGGGTTTGTGGGTCCCCTCGTGGGTGGGAGGGACGCCCCAGCTCAGCCTTGTCCCCTTAGACCCTCCCGGCTCCGTCCGGCCGCGCATCCCGCGGTGCGCGCAGTGATGGCACCGGGGGGTCCTGCCCGCTCGGGGAAGCGTTTTACAGCTTTAAAAATTTAATCCCGCCGACAATTCCACATTTCTTCAGCCATGCTGCCGCGGTTGGGTTTTCCAAGATCCCGCCCGTGTCTCAGACGGGATAAAAGGAGGCTCAGGGGGGATCTTCTCGCTCTCTACAAGTCCCCGACGGGAGGGTGGAACCGGACGGGGGGTCTGGTCCCAGGGAACGAGCGACAGGACAAGACAAGAGAAAACGGTCTCAAATTGCACCAGAGGATGTTTAAGTTGGATATTAGGGAAAAATTTCATCACCAAAAGGATGGTCAGGCATTGGAAGGGGCTGCCCGGGGCAGTGGTGGAGTCCCCATGCCTGGACTTGTTCTCAAAAAACAAGTAGACACGGTACTTGGGCCGTGTTCAGCTGGTGGGTATTCAGCTGGATACCGGGTGGTATTCAGCTGGAGGTTGGACTTGACGATCTTGCAGGTCTTTTCCAACCTTACTGGTTCTATAACCCTTCGTAAAAGCAGCCTCGAGTCCCTGCTGCTGGTCCTTGCAGCTGTGTCCGGCGCTCCTTCCCGTTATCCCAGCTGTGGATCCGCACATCCCTCCCAGGCCTACACAGGGAGGAACGGACAGTTTCTCCTTGGGTTAAGGGACGAATAAGGGGCTCTTGGGTGGGATGGAAAAACGTCCTGCCCTAGGTGGGTGGTGACGGGTCCTGATCCGATTGCAGCTCTCAGGAAAGCCCGGCGGGAGGAGCAGCTGGTCAGCAAGCGGCTTCTGCGGGAGGACAGCGCGGCAGAGGAGGGGGGACAGGATGGAGCAGACGCCGTGCCGGACCCACTCTCAGAGGATGAGGTGAAGAACATGACGTTCTCTGTGGTGATGGGGATCTCAGGGGTCTTCCCCAGCCTCAGCAGGTGAAGGAGGCTGGGCAGGGGTGGCTTTGGGAATGTTTCTGAGTCGCTGCCAGACACAGTAAGGTTCTCTGTGCCCATCTTTATGCCCTGTAATCCTTTGCCTCCAGGATTAATGGGATGAAATTTTAATGCTGGTACTGCTGAAAGCTCACCTGTGTTTTGATTCCGTGGCCAGGTCCTCGAGCTGCTCAGAGCTGTGCAGAGGGGCTCGGAGGACAGGAAAGGATCGCTCTGCCGCCTCCGCCGGGCTCTGCAGAACGAGGACACTCAGCAGAAGTTTGTCAGGTCAGCCCGGCTCTGGTGTGGCTGTTACCATGTCCCGAGGGGCCCTTTGTCCTGGTGGCTGGGTGGGTGAGAGCAGGGTGGGAGGTGACAGCAGCCTTTGGGTCCCACCAGGCTGGACAGCAGCATCCGGACGCTGACGGGGCTGTTCACCAGCAGCCTGGCCGACATGCAGCTGGAGGCAGCTCGTTGTCTACACGAGCTGTCCCACTCCAGTGACCCCACTGTGGCTGAGGCCTGTCTGCCCGTGACCTCCTACCTCCTCACGTACCTGTCGGGGCACAGCGTGGAGTTCACGGTGAGATCCATGTTCTGGCACCAGAGGATCCTTTGGTAACAGTTGGTATTGACCTCTCTTGGCCAAACCTGGCTCACATGGGAGTGCTGGTGGGAAGGGGCCTTCTGGAAAACCTCTGGTCCAACCTTCCCCTTGGAGCAGAACTGTTCCCAGTGCCCAAGTGTTACAACCCACCCCTGAAGGTGTGGTAACTGAGGTTCTTGTTAATGATAGACCCCTTGGGTGGGATGAGGGTGAAACAACACTGAATGACTGGGGTTTATATATATATATATATATAAATATGTATTTTTTATATGTATATGGCAGCTTTATTTTAGAACAATTTGATGGCAATGCAAAGGAGGTATGTAGATGTTTTGGTTATTATCTACAGGAATATAACAATATAAAAGTATAAAGATATCACTTAAGAAAATATATAAGGAAAAGAAAATAAAAGTAAGAGTAGATAGTGGAGAGGAAAGATATCACCACCAGTGGATCCAGTGATGAGACTTGACTGTTGCAATTTCAATGCCCTCCAAAGTGGAAGTGATCAGATCCCAACCTGAGCCAGACAGAAAAAGAACCAACTGAAGCTGACACAGCTGGGAATGGGGTGGCTGGAGAGTCCAGCAGTATCTGTGTGTCTGAATTCAGCTCTGCCCTGCTCGGAGGAGGGTGTGGGACCTGGGCCTTGCCCAGGGGAGCACAGACAGGATCACTGCTCTGGTGTGTTGCAGGAGCTGTGTTTGTACACACTGGGGAACCTTGTAGTAGAAAGTGAAGCTGTGAGGAAGCAACTTCTGCCTCAGGGCATCATTCCAGTGCTGGCATCCTGCATCCAGGTGGGTGAAACAGCTCAGCCACACTTCTCCTGCCCTGCCCTAGAGAGACTTTTCTGGCTGACAGCCCTGAGTGAGCAGCCCTCCTTCCAGCCTGGTGGTGGGCAGAGACCCCTCTGCAGGGAGCTGTTCCCTCGAGTGTGAGGGTCACTCCTGCACTCCATTTTTGGGGCTTAGCTCACCACCTTGTGCTCCTCTCCAGCTGAATCTCTCCCACCCAGTGGCTTGCTGATACAGTCTGTAATACAGGGAGCTGCAGGTCTCTCCCCTCTGCCTGGGTTGGGGCAGTGCTTTGCAGGTCTGCATTTGGGCTCCTAGACCCCTACAGCCACAACCCAGCGAGTGTGGGGAGGGGGATGGCTCAGCTTTGGTGTGGGCACAGGTTCCTGTGTCCCTCCCAGTGCCCTCTGTGCCCCCTCTCTTCCGGGCACAGTGGGACTCAGCTGCTGGGTTGGGTCTGGCACTGTGGGCCCCCCGCTTTGCCAGGGGGGATCAACTCTGTTCTGTTTGATTGCAGTCCCCACACGAGGCCGTGCTGGAAGGTGTGGGTTATGTCCTCTCACAGCTCCTCCAAGCCAAGGAATCACCCATGGAGATCATCCCGTGAGTCTGATCTTCTGAATCCTGCACCAGGATGGGCCCTGGGGTGCAGTGTGGTATTTGTGTGCTGGGGACATGGGACCTTTCCCATCCCAGTGATGTTAATAGTCTAGGGCAGAATCCCACCAGAATTGTGGGGGTTTGGATGTGGATCGTGGCACAGGGCTTGGCTCCTTTCCCTCAGCCTCATCCAAGCAGACAGCTCTGGTATTTTGGTGAAAGCCAGTGTGGAGCAGGGTGGGCTCGCAGGGAAGTTCTGACTGTGTTCCTCCTGTGAAGAAAAAGATCAGATTGACAGCCCTCAGTGCCAAAAATATGACCTCAGCCAAGGTGTCGTGAGTGCCCCCAGGCCCTGCCATGGACAGGGAGAGCCCAAGGCTGGAGCCTTTGGCTGAGAGTCTCTTCCAGGTGTTTACTGGGGGCATGTGGCTCCTGGTGTGGGGTGTGGCATCTCCCTGCTTGGTGACCAGGGTCAGTGCCTCCCTGTCAGTGTCTGTCCTACCTGTGCCTCCATTGACTCTGCTCTCTGACCCCAGGCAGGTCCTGGACTCTGTCCTCCCCCAGCACATGCTTCGCCTTGTGTGCTTCAGCCTCAAGGCTGGGCTGGGAGCAGCCGTGGAGTTTGCCTGGTGTCTCCACTACATCATTTGTAGGTAAATGTGCTTTTCTCCTCGTTTTGAGTTCCCCAGGGGCAGCCAAACAGAGGCATGAAGGCTCATGGTCCTGTGAGGGGACTGGATTTCCTCCTCTTGCCCTTTTCCCTTGGGAAAGCAATTCCTCTGCCATCCTGGGTATCCCTGCCCTCATATCTGAGCACACATGGGCTGTTTGCAGGATCACTGAGTTCCTTTATGGGGTGGTAATGGGTGATAAACCTGGGGAGGCTGTTTCTGGTCCTCTGAAATGCCCCCAGATCTCCTCCCCATGTCTGGAGTTGTCCCCCACGCTTCCCAAAGCAAGCTCCCTGAATCCTCACACTTGTGGGCTTGGCTCAGTGCCACCCATCCAGGCTGTCCAGCAATCCCTGCCTGCCACAGGAGACAAGGAATGTGGGGGTACTCAAAGAAGGGTTGGGGCTGTTGCTTCTAGACCCATACAGATAATTTCAGTGAATCTGTTTTTTATGGGCTTTTAAACATTCTCGGAAGCTTAAAAAAACCCTGCTATTGCAACATGAAATAAGCCCTGTGGTAGTTCAGGAGGGTGCTCTGAATTTCCAGGCCCTGTTGTTTGGCAAGGAGCTGTGGCAGTTTTCCCTCTCCAAGCTCCAAGAGCCACCCCACTGTCCCTCCCCTTTGCAGGCACAAATCCAACACCGTGCTGCTGGCGCTGGGGGCTGTGCCCGCCCTCAGCTCGCTCCTGCTCCACCTGGCTTCCGAAATCCCCCAGGATGCTCCCGAGGGCCTGGAGCTGGTGAGAGGCGGGCAGGGTGCTGGCTGTTCCCGGGATTGCTGTTCCTGGGTCCAGCTGAAGGGCTGTGTGTGTCACTCTCTGTCACAGCTCGTGTGTCCCGTGCTGCGGTGTCTCAGCAACCTGCTGGCAGAGACGGGCTGCCAGGTGCGGGATGAGCGCCTGCTCATCGCCCTGTTCCTCCTCCTGCAATGCTTCCTCCAGCAGCACCCATTCCTGGTCCAGGAGTGCCTGTGGCTGCTGAACAACCTCACGGGTGAGTGTCCCCTGGCACAGCCGGAGCACTGCTGGGACCTGCCCCGGTTTTACTGACATGTCCCTTCTCGGCCCCCCCCAGCGGACAGTCCCTTCCTCTGCTCCGCTCTGCTCTCCCTGGACCTGCTCCCGGCCCTGCTGCAGCTCCTGCAGTGCTCCCAGATGGCCAGTGTGCTGGTAAGACCTCACCTCGTGCCTTAGGAACGGTGGGGAAGCACTGGAGTTCCAGGAACATGAATCCCACTCTGACAGTGCTGGAGTTGGAGGGTGGATGGGGCGGTAGGGACAGCTTGGCAGAAGGTCTCCTGCTGTGACAGTCGCCAGCCACCTCCCCTGAAGCCAATCCAGCTGTATTTACCCCTGGCAGAGCCTTGTCCCAGCACAAGAGCAGTTCCAAGGGAGATGCTAACTTGGAGTGAGCCAGGGGAGGCTGCTGACACCTTGCTCTGGAGGACCCCAAAGCTTTAGAAGGCTTGGGGGGACACACTGCCAAGGGGTGGGGTGGCACAGCTGGGTCTGCCTGGCACGGGGATAAACAGTGCCTTGGGGTGGGCATGGAAAGGGCTTGTAAAGAGCATTGAAAATCCAGGGAGTTGGTGGGCACATGGCTTTGGGCAAGCACCTGGCAGGACAAAAAAAGCTGGAGAGAGACTTTGGACGAGGGTCTGGAGGGACAGAACAAAGGGGGAATGGCTTCACACTGCCAGGGGGTAGGTTAGATGGGATATTGGGAAGGAATTCCTGGCTATGAGGGTAGGAGGCACAGGTTGTCCAGAGAAGCTGTGGCTGCCCCATCCCTGGAAGTGTCCAAGGCCAGGTTGGACAGGGCTTGGAGCAACCTGGGCTAGTGGAAGGTGGTTCTGCCCATGGCAGGGGTGTGGAACTGGATGACCTTTAATGTCCCTTCCAACCCAAACCATGCTGTGATTCCATGCCATGGGAGTTGTTCCCAGCCCTCCCCAGCCTGTCAGGAATCTGCCCCTGAGGTGTTCCCTGCTCCTGCAGGTGCTGACCGTGCTGTGCAATATCGCGGAGAAGGGACTGTTCCAGTGCCAGCAGCTGCTCCAACAGCCCGTCCTGCCCCTGCTCCTGGCCATCCTCACCCTGCCCGACCCCGAGGCCCTGGGGCAGTGCCTGGAGCTGCTGCACCTCCTCTTCCTGCACTGCCCACAGGTGAGAGTTGGGGGGGGGCTCCAGGGCACAATAAAGGGGCAGGGAATTCTTATTGTGGGGGTTATTATCATGGAAGGGAGATGATTATTTAAAAAATGCTGTTCTCAGTCACCACCACACTACCCCCCATCCCTCACCACTTCCCTGCCCAAAGAGAAACTGTGATGCAGGAGGTGGAAGCCTTTCTTGTGTCTCTGGGAAGTACCTTTTCATCAAGCAGGACTGAGGTTTGGGCAGGTTGTTTGTACCCTCTGGGGTTATTATGGGTGGATTCTTTTTATTCCACTGTGGTTGCTTCATTTAGTGAAGACCACAGGAAGAAATTCTTGGCTGTGAGGGTGGGGAGGCCCTGGCACAGGTTGCCCAGAGAAGCTGTGGCTGCCCCATCCCTGGAAGTGTCCAAGGCTGGGTTAATCAGGGCTTGGAGCAACCTGGGCTAGTGGAAGGTGTCCCTGCCCATGGCAGGGGTGGAACAAGATGGTCTTTAAGATCCTTCCCAACCAACCATCAGCATGGTGGGATTTACCTGGTTTGGGAATGTGGTGTCTGTGAGGGCTCTGGGGAGTTCCTCCAGCCCCGTTCCCTGGGCTGTGGTGGCTGTGGGCAGACATGATCAGCTGTAGCCCCTGGCCAGCTCTCACCCCTCTCCTCTGGCACAGGCTGCTGCTGATTTCACCAGGCAAGGCGGGCACCAGGCCCTGGAGCAGCACCAGAACACCCCAGAGCTGCAGGAGCGGGCACAGGCTCTGCTGGATGTGGTCAGGCAGCCCCTGGGAGCCCCCAGTCCCTGCCACACCACACTGCCTGCCTTCTCCTAGGCCTTGCCACCTCCCTGCCCTCCCCCATGCTCCAAGGGGGAATAAACTGTCTGTCCACCCCATGCCCAGCTTCCCGAGGGCTGCTCAGGGCCCTGGCTGCAGGGGAGTGCTGCTCCTTGTCACCACCCCAGAGCCACCAGCCCAGTGCCCCCCCAGAGCCTGGAGAGAAGCAGAGCTGAGCCGCTGCCGGTGCCAGGGAGGGTGTGAAGGGCTGGATCAGCCATTCCTTTGGGCTTCCAGCCACCACGTGAAGCTCAGGGTAAGCACGTTGTGTTTATGGATTGATAAGTTAAAGATACATGTCTGACATTAAAGATCATCAGTCAAGTCTCCAGCATGCGTGTATTCACTGTCTGTCCTCATGCTTGGCTTTTCACAACACTCTCCAGGGCCTTGGCCACTTCATCCACCGTCAGGTTGTTCAGTGGGATGCTCTTCTCCTTCCCAAACTCTGTGGGAAACATAAAGGGTGAGATGGGGGAGGGATGTTGGCCCTCTTCTGGTGCCAGGGCAACCCAAAACCTGCCTTGGGCTTCCCCAGTGCCACTGGCATCACAGCCCAGGCTCCCACCAGCACCCTTTTAGATCTACCACTCCCCAGTGTCCCACTCTGTGCCCAAGTTGTCACTGCCACCTTCTCTTTATTCTCCTCCTTTCCCTTGGAGACAAGCCAAAGGAGGCAAACACCTTTCTCTGCCTCTTTTTGTTAACTTTGGCTGGGCAGAGACAAAAGCAGCAACCTTTCAGCCTGCTCCCAGCAAGGTGCTCACCAGCACCTCAGTAAAACAGTCTGAAAAACTCCCTGTTCCTACAGCAGCCCCAGCCCAGGGCTCCACTTCCCTGCAAGTCACACACAGACAAGAGACTCCACTGGTCCATGTGCTCACACTGGGAAATTTGTGCTTAAAGAGTCATTGCATCTCTTCAAAGGACAGTTTCTAAATTGTTTTGGTCAAGCCCAAATGTTTTTTGGAATAAAACAATGCATTTACAGAGGTGCTTTTCTGCTCCTTCCTTGGTGTTTCACTGACAATCCAGTGTAAATAAAGGAAAACCAGCCAAATTTTTGTGCAGTGAAGGGTGGGGGTGGGAGATCATAGCCACAGGCTGGAAACTACCTGCTGAGCCAAAGGGCCCTTTTCTGCCTCCCCCCAGGCCACTTCCCTGAAGTGAATCCCTCTTCCTGTCCCAAGGGCTCCCTCTCCACCAACATTCTTCACTGTAACCCCTGAACCCCCACTGCTGTATCCCATGGGAAGGAATTCCTCCCTGTGAGGGTGGGGAGGCCCTGGCACAGGTTGCCCAGAGAAGCTGTGGCTGCCCCATCCCTGGAAGCATCCAAGGCCAGGTTGGATGGGGCTTGGAGCAAGCTGGGCTAGTGGAAGGTGTCCCTGTCCATGGCAGGGAGAGGAACAAGATGGTTTTTAAGGTACTTCCAACTTAAACTGTCTTGTGATTCTATGATTTTTCCCCATCCCCATTTTCCCATGCTTTTCCCTTCCCAACCCACCTCCTCCCTTTGAGCGTTTCATGGCCTTTAAGCCCTTCCAACCCAAACCATTCCATGTAGATTCCATGACTCTCTGGCTCCCCGCAGGTGCCTCCTCCCGGCGGGCACCTCACACTCACCGTACCGCGCCCAGAGCTTGGGCTGGACACCAGAGCACTCCCGGATGAGGATGGGGAAGTCGGGGTTCGCCTTCTTCAGGGTCACATAGTGCTTCTCAATGAACTCCCTGCGGGGGGAAGGAGAAGCGGCGGGTCCCCGGCGCTCAACCCGGGAGTCCCCCGGCCGAACGGGACCCCCAAGCAGAGCACCCCGAACCCCATTCCCGGCTGTCCCCGGGTCCCCGCGCTGACCTGACGCCCTGGCTGCCGGCGGAGCGCTGGCACAGGTGGATGCGGAGCTCCCGCATCCTGAGGCCCAGCCCGCCCCCAATGCCCCTCACCGCGGCTGCCGCCATCTTGTTCTGCCCTCACAACAACACGGGGGGGCGGGACCGCGGGGCACCTCCGCCAATCACAATGCCCGCCGCGCCGCGCCGGCCAATGGGAGCGGAGGCCACGGTAGCGCCGACTAATGGGAGCGGGCGGCGTAGGGTGCGCCGGGAGGGCAGCGCAGGGCAGAGGGGACGCGGAGCAGGGCCCGGACAGAGACCTGCGAGCGCAGCGATGCCGGACCGCGACAGTGAGTGCGGGACACCGGGAACACCGCGACACACCCGGGAACACCGGGAACACCGCGACACACCCGCGACGGGACACCCGGCCCTCGCGCGGGGGGTGCTGCGGGGCGCGGGGCGGGGCGGCCCGGTGTGAGGGGGAGCGGTGTAGGCCCAGCCCGGGCTGCGGGAGCGAGGGGACTCTCGAGGGGTCGGGGGGACCCCGGGTTGGTGCGAGGGACCCCCCTGCGGGGAGACGGGGTGCAGAGACTGCCAGGAAGGGACCTCTGGGGGTGAGGAGATCCCCGGGGCGCGGGCCGGGGGTGTCGGGTGTTTTTGGGGCGCGGGGATGGAACACCCCTGGGAGGGCGCGGAGCCGCGGGGGTTGGGGCGGGGGGTGTCGCAGTGGCACCGGGACGCCTTTGTCCCGAGCACAAGTGGCAGCGGGCTGGGATCCACTCGGAGCTGCGGGTGGACACTGCTCCCGTCCCTGCTGCTGGGCCGGGTGGGTGGGCAGAGGGGTCAGTGCCACATAGACCCTGTCTGAGCTCTCTCTCTCACGTTCCCCAGATGAGCCGTTTTCCAACCCCCTGGCCCCTGATGGCCACGATGTGGATGACTCTCACTCCTTCCACCAGTGAGTACAGCTCTGGGGCACTGGGCAGCACTGGGGTGGGACTGGGCCAGCACCGAGACCCCAGCCTGATGCCCATCTAGAAGCTGGGACTCACTGGTGCACCCCATCCTTAAGACCTCATGCCCATCTCTACCACACAGGACCTGCTGGCAAACCCACTGCCTCCTTGGAAGCTGTCCTGCACCAAAGCTCTTTGGGAATGATGATTTCTGTTGCCTCTCTCCCTTGCAGATCCAAGCTGACCAATGAAGACTTCAGGAAGCTCCTCATGACCCCGCGGGCTGCGCCAACATCTGCGCCACCGTCCAAATCTCGCCACCATGAGTGAGTAGGACTGTTTTACAGGACCATGGGACAATCCAGGCTTGCTTTCCTGCTTTCCCTCTGGGGCTCCGTGCTCAGCTCATGTTCTCCCCTGCACTCTGCAGCAGAGTATCTAAAGGGGGTTTTCCTGATGAGTGTGTGAAGTGGGGAAGCACGTGGGTCAGGGCTGCTGTCAAAACCAGAATGAAGTTCATGGCTGTTAAGACACTTTGTGCATGAGGCAGATTTGGTTTCTGTTTGGTGAAAATCAGTGCTTTCCCCTCCTCTCCCTGCTGCAGAGTGGAATTAGGGAGAAATTAGGGAGAGGGACTGTGCTTTTCCATCTTGGAGCTCCTCAGTGCCATTCTGTGTCTGAGGGAATGTTCTCTCCACCTGCCATCCCTGTGGCTCTGCAGAATACACATGTGTTTTCTCACCCTTTTCCAGGATGCCCCGGGAGTACAACGAGGATGAAGATCCAGCTGCTCGCAGGAGGAAGAAGAAAAGGTAAATGGGGAAAGCATTGTATCAGGACTTGTCATTATACATCGTGTCCCTCCTGTGGAAGGAGCTTCTGAGCTCTTGAGCTCTTAAAGAGGGATTATTTTGGAGCTTTGGAGAAGAGCTCAGCCTGAGGGCCTGTCACTGCTTGTGGGACAGTTGGCCTCAGTACAGCACTTTCCTCTTGCCTGGTGTCCTCCAAGCACATTGTATCCCATGGTGGTTTAGTGTGGGTTTGGGGAGGGGGTTGGGAGCAGGACAGACATATGTGGAGCCTCAGATGCTGTTATCTGACCCCAAAAAGATGAACATGTCACTCTTAACCCGGAGGTGTTTCCCACCCCCAGCTACTATGCAAAGCTGCGGCAGCAGGAGATCGAGCGCGAGAGGGAACTGGCCGAGAAGTACCGGGACCGAGCCAAGGAGAGGAGGGATGGAGTGAACAAGGACTACGAGGAGACGGAGCTGATCAGCACCACGGCCAACTACAGGGCTGTGGGGCCCACGGCCGAGGCGTACGTGAGCTGTGGTGGGGCCTGGGCTCGCCAGCCTGATCCTTAACTGGCTTCTAACTGGCTCCATTGTCACTGCCCAGGGATAAATCTGCTGCGGAGAAGAGGAGGCAGTTGATCCAGGAGTCCAAGTTCTTGGGTGGTGACATGGAGCACACTCACTTGGTGAAGGGTCTGGACTTCGCGCTGTTGCAGAAGGTGAGCGCAGACACCACGGGGCTGCTCTGCTGCCCTGCCCTCCCCCACGGGCAGAGGGTGGTAGTTCCAGTTCCAGGTGCTCTGATCTTGGCAGTGTGGATTTCCCTTTGTGGGAAGGGTTGCTGAAGGGTCTGGGCCCTGGTGGCAGTGGCCGGGGTTGGCTGTAATGCCTGGATGTTCTGCACATCCAGGTACGGGCTGAGATCGCCAGCAAGGAGAAGGAGGAGGAAGAAATGATGGAGAAGCCCCAGAAAGAGACTAAGTGAGTGGTTGAGGACTTTGGACTCCTCGAAAAGGATTTTGCAGCTGCCTTACAGAGAGGAGGAGGCAGGGGAGGCATTTGCTTGGCTTAACACTTTTGGTTTCTGTTTTCGTTCAGGAAAGATGAAGATCCCGAGAACAAAATTGAATTTAAGACCCGGCTGGGTAAGACTGTGTGGGTGTGGCTGTTCCCCACCTTTTGTTGTGCTGTGAATGTGGGAGAAATCCTGGAGGGCGAATGGAGGAATGAAAACCTTTAGTCATTGGAGAGGGAGGAGTCCTGGATTTGAGGGCTGTAGGAAGTGTGTCGCTTAGGAGGCGATTCTTGTGTTGCTGATAAACTGAACATGCTCCATGGGCTTGTCCAGTGCTCTCCCACACTTTTCGTTGCTCTCCAGGCCGCAACATCTACCGCATTCTGTTCAAGAGCAAGACCTACGAGCGGAACGAGCTGTTCCTGCCGGGAAGGATGGCCTACGTGGTGGATCTGGACGATGAGTACGCAGACACCGACATCCCGACCACGCTGATCCGCAGCAAGGCCGACTGCCCCACCATGGAGGTACCCAGCTGGCCTCAGGCTGCCTTGCCTCACTGGCCTGAATGGGCCAGAGCAGGTTTTTCCAGGGGGGAAGTCCCTGCCAAGGGAGCAGGATGCTTCCTCGTGGATTTGCCTTCCAGGCTCAGACCACCCTGACCACCAACGACATTGTCATCAGCAAGCTCACGCAGATCCTCTCCTACCTCAGGCAAGGCACTC